GAGAATCTATTCCTCTGCTAACGTGGCACCCTACTGAGCCGACTCCTAATGAGGTCTGATTAAACCCACGGATTTGCACATCTCTCAAACCTTATCCATGAAGCTTCTTTTTGCAATCAGTGGTGATTAAGGCAGAGATTCGCTACTAGTCAAGGTGCAGAGAACAAGTGAATGCAAAGTGCCCAGTGATATAAATATACATATAAATATACAAATATAAATATATCACACTGTCCTCCTCGCTAGGTTCAGGGGTTGAAAGACTTAAGAGTCAGAGGTGGCAGATAGGGAAACAGTGTTTTCCAGACACAAAGGGCGGTTGCACTTAAGAAATCACAACGGTTGTGACAGCATGCACAAGACCTATGCAAGCTCAAATCAAGACAGAATTCCAGCATGGAGGGGAAAAATGGGCAGGAGTCCCATCCGTAGCCTTAGGTCTATTGGTAATTTAAAGATGCTGAAGAAGAGAGAGTTAGCTTTCTCTAAGGGCATTGTCCCAGCAGGTCTCACATACTCCAGTAGGTGCCCACACACCTAACAATGTATAAGGAACATTAATGAGGCTTAATGGTTTATTTAAAAAAAAAAAAAAGACAGGAAACAGGTTGAGAGAGTAAAATTGGGGGGCGGATGGGGAAAAGGTTGGGAGAGGAGTTGAATATAATCAAAATACAGTGTATTAAATTCTCAAAGAAATAAATATTTAAATTTGAAATTTTATTTCCAAATGGATTTTCTATAGGAACAAACAAGATGTGAACTTCACACAAGGAAATTGGCAAAGAAAATAATTAAACACTAAATTACAGCCACTACACATCAGCAATAGAGAGCTGGGAAGAGGAGGGGGGGGAATCACTTAACACAATTGAGGTTTAAAAAAATTATGTTAATGTCAATTTCAAATGGATCACTGGTTTGTAAACTGATAAGAAAAAAAAGCACTAGAAATTTGATGTAATGTAAGTAAATTTATTCTTATTGAAGAAAAAATAGGGGCTAGAGAGATGGCTCAATGATTAAGAGATCTTAATGCTCTTGCAGAGGGCCTGGTTTTGGATCACAGTACACAAATCAGGCTGCTACTAACTGCCAGTTCCAAGAGATCCTCACCTGGCCTCTGCAGGCACATGGTGCACAAAATCATACAGGCTCGCCCACATACAAAAGAAGGAAGGCAGGGAGGGAAAGAAAAGAAAATTAGACATAGAGTTTTATTGTCTACCACACTGATACATAAAAACAAAAAAGCTTAATGTGTTTCTTCCACATTTACAGCACAGTTCTTGTCAATCACTCATGCAGTTACAGTCATGGGTATCCAAGTTTCTCCAGAAAACACAGGTTTCTGCATTAGTGACACATCACTTTTAAAAATGGATCCAAAAGAGAATTAGATGGTTGCCCCTAGAGGCTCATGTTACCTCAGTCATGAGGTACAGCCACCGGGTTGACTCTTGCTTCTGAAAGTTGGTAAACCTTTCTGGACTTTTCCACATGCCTAGAGCCATTTAGACCTCATTGTCAAGAGTAGGCTTCTGGTGCTTCTAGAATTTTTGTTTGTCATGTTGATTACATTTTTAGAAGTTCTTACTATGTATCCCTGCCTGCCCTTGAACTCACAGCAATCCTCATTCCTCAATTTCCCAAATGGCAGGCATGTGTAAGTATGTGCCACCATATCCAGCTTTGTGGAACTTTCTCCATCATGGGTACATGAGAGGCAATAGCAACTACTGGCCCCTGGAAAAAATGACCACAAGATGCTACTGACTTCAAGCTCCATGCACCACCATGATGCAACCAAAGAATACATGGGGAGTAAAGATAACAGAAAAGGGCTTAGTACAGATTTTGTGAGCTTCTACTTTACAGAACATTTTTTTATTATTTCCATTAGTCAATTAATTCTCTCAATGAACTAATAGAAATACATTTTACAGAAAAGTTATTCATAGAATATTTACAGTTTGCCCTTTACTATTTGCCTATACAGACTATACATTTATAGATTTTTGTACATAGACATTTTTAATACAGTTCCTTCTCCCACATACTTAAACACATATGAACCTATGTTTCTTGCAACACTGTTCAAAACAGACAGAATTTAGAAGCAATTCAATGTTTCATTAGCAGGGGAAGGATGAGGGTATGGTATGTATTCTATGAAGTAAAAATCAGTGAGTGACACCTATGTTAACTGACAGAAATATATCCAAATATGTGGCAAGTAGGGAAAGTTATTTGATGGATTTGTGGCTCCAGAGGCCCCACCCTTAACTGAGGAACTATTGATAGCTGATGGCTTTTGGGCAAGGTTTTTCCTTAAGGGTATGGCCCCAGGTACATCCACAGTGCATAGCTCCACAGCCAGGAGTATGTAAGCATCACAAACTGAACCTGATGGACTTTTAAGAGGGTAGGGGAGTCACAAAATTAGGAGAGTGGGTAGGAGTGGAGATGAATATGATCAAAATACAATGAAAGAAATTCCCAAAGAATAGAAATACATTTTCAAGAAAAGCTATTTGTAGAATATTTATGGCTTGCTCTTGATTACTTGAGTACCTAGATTATGTATTTACAGATTTTGGTAAGTATATAGAAAAAGATTTTGCAAAGAAAGTTACAGGAAACTGCTTCTTTCGTTTTTATGTCTTATACGTAAGCAAGTATGTTCCTCCTAGTCACCTGTGAAGATAAATATAAATATACAGAACTGGGGCTGAGGAATGGAGTTGGGAGCGAAGGAAGTGAAAGGGGAGCTTTTGCTATTTTTAGTCTGTGTATAATCTATACATGGCTATGGAGCTGAAATGGATGAACCTGTTACAAAGTGCCATGACTCACGATCCTAAATTCTATACAGAAGCAAACATGCATCACTCCGTCACATGGCATCAGCTTAGTCACTAAGACTATAACTAACTTAAGGTTTGAAAGACAGATACACGCATTCAATGTCCAAACTAAATCTGGAAAGTAGGAAAATTCAACTTTGTCCACGGCTATGAATGGCACAGTTTATCGATCACAGAAAATGTCAACAAATTCAAAGGTAAGCTTTGCACTTCAAGTCCCCTGAAACCTCTGACTCTCCTTCCTACTCAATGTGGAATCAAGGCACGCTCTGCGGTAATTAAATAACTTAACGGCAGTCCCGCTTGTTTTAGATGTACAACAAAAGTTCTCCCATATGGCTAAGACAGAAACAGAAACCTACATGAATAATCCATAAGAGAACAGAGACATATAAAGTATGAAATTTTACTTGCGATCAAATAAATGAATATTTCACTGCGGAGAAACATATGCTTCCTCAGTAATACACAGATACAGGAACTGAAATGATGTAGTATAGACAATACATTTACAGATGAAATTATATCTACCAAGTTCTTTGTAGAGATAACAGGTAACTTTTTAGATGACTGACATTATAGCTTCCTAATGAAATCTATGCCTAGAATTCTTAAAATGAATTGTTTCAGGAATTATATAAACAAAACTTCATATTTAGAGAAATCTCTTTCTTAACAATGCCATACAAGCCAATTTTCAAAAACAAAACCAATAAAGTGAAATAGAAGCCCAGGGCATGAGCCTTCAAAGAATGACAGTGGATTTGCACAATGAATATTCACTTAAGGTAATACTTATGCAACAAAACTGTATACGCCTCAGATTTTCAGGGGCTTTTTTTCTTCATAACCAAGATGCATTTCCTAATTAATTCATTAGCAGTCATGTTAGTAGCCAAAACTAGAGGTGCAGTGTATTAATAATATTTAAAGGTCATTAGCTTGCTGAAGAAAGAGGAAGTAACCTACTTTCCTAGGTAGAAACAATTATTACAATAATGACAAATATACTCAGTAATAATAATGATGAACAATAACTATTCATACAATTTAAGGGCAATGTTCATTCTCTGAATAATGCCCTAATATTCTCCACGACTGTGCAGTATCATAATTGTTATAATAATGAATTAGTATTCACACAATAGACTGTTACCCAGCAATACAGATGAACTAGACACAGACAATAACATGGATGAATCTCTAACAACTAGGTTGGACAAAAGAAGACAAATACAGAGAATATATGTGAAATTCCACTTCCACGAAGCCCAGAAACATGAACAACTAATCTAATCACAATCAAAAGCAACTAGGCTTAGAGCTGAGGGAATGGACAGGCAGAAAGCAAACCGGAAAGGGAGTGCAGTCATGATTAAAATGTCCTGCATTTTGTTTTGTATAGTGGCTATATGAATATATGAGGCTGTCAAAAAAAACATCAAGCTGAACACAATAGCTGTGTATTTTATTGTATTAAAATACAACACAACCAAAACATGTGGTTTAAAGTTAACTGTTCAAGAGTGATTTGCCAAAGTAATGTTCTTGAACTGGGGGGGGCGATACGCTTTAGACAGTATAAATCATTTGATATTTAAATTTTCCATTACAGCTGAGAAATAAGCAGTCACAGATGTGTGCTTATAGAACTATGATTGTGAGCTAAAGGGAGGGTAAGCAAGAATCTTGGTTTACTGTGACAGATGCCCAGGGGAGCCTGATACCATAGCACCTGGTTAACAGTACTGTACCTGCTTTACCACAGAGTCCTCTGACTTAGAGGACCTTCGGGGTCACCTATCTAAAGTGAACTTTCAATGTCATGAATTGAAGTACAAGTGCCTTCACTTTCCCATTCCACCCACAATGACTAAACAAAACTCAACATGATCTTTTATTCTTGTTAACGTTTTACATTCCACAATCAAAGTCTAACTAAATGGGTTTCCCTGAAGTTTACATCTGAGGACAAAATTAAATGTCACAGAACTTGATCTGTAAGGAAAGTAGAAAGCAAGCTTAGGGGAAAAGACCTAAAAAAATAAAAAGTAAAAAAAAAATAAAATAAAAAATTAACCACATAAAAGAATGTAAGGATAGTCACAAATACAAGATTTAAGAAATCTTTACCTGCTGCCCTGTAAAGTATTTTAGGTTCAAAAAATATACATGGATTTTTATCTTCTATGCATGACAATAGAAGTCCCTTGGCCTGGAAAGGGCTTCTGGGTATAACCACCTGTAAAAACATACAATTTTAGTAAAATACATCTCCAGTAAACCCACTTCCAAGGGTTGATACTTAACCAATCAAGTGTAACTAATTCAACTAGACCACGTATTTGTACTTATTATAAAATGTAAGCGTTGGCTCTCAGAAATCTCTTTATCCACAAGTATTTCTAAACTGATTTCCACTAAGATGCTGAGCTTCCTTTGAGGACCTTACCTTGCCTGTGGCAGAAAGAGAACCTGCAGACGGAGGAGGAGGAGGAAGAGGAGGAGAAGAAGGAAAAGAGGTGTCCACCTTTAAGTGCCACCTCCTACTAACATTCTGCTATCTCTTGCAAATGAAAGTGCCATGATCCCCTTCTTTCTGACGGGCAAATGCAACCTGCACTTCATGAAGGAAAAAAGCAACCCACTGAATTTTGTGGACCAGATATAGAATCCAGTTGCACAGAAAAAAGACCAAAAAAAAAAAAAGCATGGTTATTCCACATCTCCAGTGGACAGGGCAAGGGCTCCGAGACCTTCAGGAGGAGGCTGGTGAAGAGGACTGACTGTAAGAAACGCACGCGATAACTTGGCAAAGCACTCTGAGGGGGTCATTTCATCTGTCCTGCACAGTGACCCCAGGAAATAGCTACTACTCTTTTTCCCACTTAGAAACAGAGACTGCGGCTCTTACTGGGTAAGGACACTACCTGAGGTCACAGTACTTGAGAGGACAGAGATTCTTACTCTGTTCTGATGCACCCAGAAGACCACACTCTTGACCATGGCTCCTCAAATCACAAATTAGTACCTAAGTTTTCATGATTGTAAAATAACTGTCTGAGAACAAACTTCACTGGAAGGATTACTAGAATAAGCCTGGATCTATACAAAGATCAAACAAGACTCCTTGAAGCAAACCACCTTTGAGTTTCAAACTCACTACTGTGTTTTGTTTTTGTGGAACTGGTAATCAAATCCTTAGCTTGCACATACCAGGCAAGTGGTCCACCCTGAGCTACATCCTCAGCCCTTAATCTAGTTGAGAGAAAGACATTTTAGGTAGACTGGACTGGCCTCAGACTCTTAATCTTACTGCCCTGAGGGAATTGTGTCATTTTTATCAAAAGAATTTTGTTTAAAAATAAAACACCATAAATCTCTTTATTAGCCATATCACACAAAGCTGTTATGCTTCTGTCCTTTAGTTTCTCTTTGCTTTCTTCAAATAGTTATTTGTATTCAAGTTTATAAATAAGAAATAGGAAACTGACAGTAGATGATTAAAAGTTCTGTTGTTTAAAACCTCTAGGATATGGTGTAACATTAAATATGACTAACATCCAGCTCAAGATCAGAAGTAAGTGTTGCTTCAAACTGGCTCTTATCCAAAACTACCACTTCTGGCTTGTGTCAGAAAAGCATACAGCCTCCCTTCAACTGGGACAAACCTCATGAAAAAAAAATTAGGAAAAAATGTAAACATTTTTACAATTGATTTATGTTGTCCAAAAAAAAAAAAAAAACATGCTTCTCTGGCTAACACATCTGTGAGTTTCTATGATTCCCTGGAAAGCTACTTGATGAACATCAAGAGACAAAACACTCAAAATATTTGTAACATCAAAAGATTTAAGCTATTACAGGAGACAGCTACAAAGGGAAGACTCGTCCAAGCAGATGAAGCAGTTCCCTTACTCTAGATTGGAAAAGATTCCCATCTATGTAGGAGCTTTCTCTCTGTCTGCTTAAAAACTGAAAACCTGAGCTAAAAGCAGACACCTCTTTGAGGTAAATATTGGTAAACAGTAGGTTTTGTTAAAAGTACCCCAAAATCAAAATGAGAAAAACCCACTAGAAAGAAGAAACTAGAATTTTAGAAGAATGTCATACCCTTTAGAATCTATGGAGTTAATGAATTCCAACATCATCCCGGTGCTGCTTCCGGAAGAACATTCTAGAAAACTGGGCATCAGCAAGTTAATCTGAAAAGGAATGCTAACCTCCCTTTCTCAAATATAGTTAAGTTCCTATCAACTGCAAAGCCCTGGTTGTCTTCCTTCAGGGAAGAATACTAACAGCGTAAGCGAAGGTGGAAACATCAAATGACGATCAAATAAAGGAACTAAGCAAGAATACCTTGATTCCTGGGCAGTGGGCAAAAAAGGCTTCAGGACTCTGAGAATGGTAGAGGGCCCCGTGGCCTACACAGCCCCATGGGGCCCGGATGGTGAGGCTCCCACAGTTGAAAAGATCCCCAGAGCGATAACGGTACTTGGCAGCTTCGTTGACAATCTGCAGAGAGAGGGGGCATGTCACAGTGACTTTCCTACCCAATGCATGTCCTAAAAACATGCGGTTGGATCTTCAAATGCATTCCCATTACAACAGCAAAGCACCAACACGATGCAACAGGTGTTGCATCAGGCAAGGCGGAGACGGGTGGGCAGAGCCTGTGTTTAAACACTCAGGGACTGACCTGAAGAGATGCCTTTCCTGGCAAAGCATGTGGCACCTACCTGATCAAAGGCAGGGAAAATATAGTCGGCAAACTGGATTTCCGCAATGGCCGTAGCACCAGTGACTGCGATTCCAATCCCAAATCCAACAATTCCTTGTTCACACAACGGGGTGTTGAACACTCTATCTTTTCCTTTAAAATAAATTAATAATAATAATAATAATAATAATAATAATAATAGGAAGAGAAATAGAAGACAAATCTAATGTAGATATTAAAGCAGTGAAATATACAGGACATCTGATAATTGGGTAGGATAAGAAATTTGGGACAGGTAGAGGAAATTGTAAATAGCATTATGATTGATTCAGTACATAACTGCATTAGACATAAGAAATCTAAATATGAGATTTTTGAGCTAATATCTGGGCAACAACAGATAAAAATATCCCCCCCCCAAAAAGGGGACCTTTAAAGTACAGCTATAACACAATAAACGATGTGACTGAATGGCATACTCAGGATGCTAGCGCCTACACCAAGAACTCTAATACTGACAGGAATGGACCAACCGTATGCTCCTTTTAAACCAACTAGATTTTAAAGATTTAAATCAAATTCATCATGTCTTGAAGCAAACGACTTGGATGTAGGAAAGAGGCTTGTTGGGGGAAGTGGAGGTAGCAGGTGGGAGGGAGCTGAGAGACAGTGGTGAGAGAAGTCAGCATGCACTTTGCACATGTATGAAATTGTCAAACAGCAAATGCAGTAAGAATTATTTATAAGAGTATGTGCACTGGCCTTGGTGGGATTATTCTGGAAATCAGTAACAAAAAAAAAAAAAAGTAAGATAATGTGTGTGGGGCAGTTGCTGTCCGTAGCTCTTCCTAAAATATAGGAGGCCCTGGGTTCAAGTCCCAATATTCAAGGAGAAAAAAACAAAAAAACAAAAACAAAAACATATGAAAAGGGGAAGGGGAGTGGTAGGGAAGGAGGAGGGGAGGGGAACAAGAAAGTTAGCTAATTATCTTGCTGTGGTTTGATTATAAAGTATCCCCTATAGGCTCATGGGTGAGCACCATCACCCCATCCCACCACCAACATGCCCAAGCTAGCAGCCCTGTTGTGGAAGGATGTAAGACCTTTAGGAGGTGAAGGCTTTCTACAGGAAATAGGTTCTTGATGACAAGCTTTGAGGCCATCCCCACTTCCTCTTCCCTCTTAAGACAAATGTGACCAGCTAGCCTTCCCTGCCTGCTGCCATGTCTTCCCTGAGCCAAAATACCACCGAGCCAAAATAAAGTCTTTCCCCGCTAAGGTGCTTTTATCAGGTTATGTTATCACAGCAACAAAAGAAAAAAAGGGAAGGAAGGGAGGGAGGAAATGGAAGGAAGGAAACACAAGGGAAAGAGGAGGGAAAGGAGAAGGGGAGATACAATAAAGTTTGTGCTAGGTCTATGGCCATATCACCCTGACCATGCCCGATCTCATCTGCTCTCAGAAGTTTATGTTAGAAAGCTTACTAAATGCATATACATAATATATAGCTCAAAAAAAGAAAAACTGGATATTAGAAAAGGTGTTAGAATTGAATAACGAGACTCTGTCTCAATTCAATGAACTACTGAAGATAACTGCAGAGTTGCTTCTTTCAAACCAAGCCTCCACTATTCATTAAAGACTTTGAGGATCCCCCATGGGAGGCCTCCTCACCTACCCTGAGGAGTGGATGGGGGTAGGATGGGGGTATGGTGGTGGGCATGGGAGGATGGGAGGGAGAGCAAACTGGATTGGTGTGTAAAATAAAATTGTTATTAATTTAAATAAAAATTAATTTTTAAAAATCCCAGGGAAAAAACAATCAATTTCTAGAGGCACTGGCAAGCTACAATGAGGCATTAACTAAACACTTGTACCCTGAAAGAAGGAACACAGAGTGAATGGTGACAGCTGTAAGACTCGCCCAAAGGGACTCTCCACATTTTATCAGAGACTGCTAGAATCCAGACAGACAGAGTATATTGATGGGCATCAAATAACATCAACTGAGGAGGTCAGTGACTGAAAACCAAGCAAGTATATTCCATTTATGCACAAATTGGTCCAGAACTCACTGACACCTGTACCTGCATAACCCTCTAAAAAGAACTCAGTAGAAAATAACCTCTGGACATTAAAAGAGCTGGTCAGAAATGTGTCCTGTGCCCACCAAAGAGAACACAGGCGTATGGAGTCCTAGTCTCATTAAGTCAAAGGAGCTTCATGGAATGGAAGGAATACACTATTGGATAAGGAATGGGTCACCAAAGGAACTAAGAGGAAAATCTAAACATTCCTAGAACTAAACAAAAGGAAAAACACAACATATCTAAACTTACAGGACACAATTAAATCACAAAATCAATCCCGAAGAGGGTGGTTTCTAGCTACAAGTGTCTATTTAAAAAGAAAGAGACAGAGAGACAGAGAGAGAGACAGAGAGACAGAGAGACAGAGAGAGAGACAGAGAGACAGAGAGACAGAGAGAGAGGTCAAATCTCAAATAATGCATCCGAGGGCTTTGGAGAAGCAAAAACAAACCAACCCCAGAAATGGTAGCTGGGAAGACAGAAATTAATTAAATGAGAGAAAGAATCAAAGAAACCAAGAGTTGGTTCTTTGAAAAGATAAATAAGATTTTCATATCCTTAGATAAACTAACCAAAAGAAAAGGGAGAAATTACAACAGATGCTGAGAAAATTCAGAAAATCATTATGACAAACATTAACATATCCCATTAGCAGCTTGACATGGTCACAGAGACCTTTAACACCAGCACTCAGGAGACAGAAACATGTGGATCCCTATGAGCTCAAGGTCAATGTGGTCTACACAGCAAGTTCCAGGCCAGCTAGAGGTATAAATTGAGGCCCTGTTTATAATCAAAATATATCTTCCTAAATTGGAAAAGATAAAAGAAATGAATGAATCTCTGAATGCATACAACCTACCAAAATAATCCAAGATGACATCATTTGCATCTATTACATCTATAACAAACAATGAGATTGAAACTGTAATAAAACTTCCAAACTAAGACTGGGGGGACAGTCCAGTCAGTAAAGTGGTTGTCTTGCAAACATGAGAACCTGAATCAACTCCCCAAAACCCACATTTTAAAAAAGCCAAACATGAACCTCCATACCCTTGGGACTGCTACTTGGTGTGGATCCAGAGTCCCCTATTTCTTTCCTGCCACCCCTTCCAGCCATGTCTTCTAGACTATCTCCATTCCTTTGTGACTGCCTCTGACCCAGAGAACAGCTTTCTACCAGGAACCCATAGCTGCCACACTAAGTTGGGTCTCGGGTATGCTATATGTGTCCTCCTTTCCCTCATGCTAGCACAACTCCATCCCCCTGAGACTTGGCCTCTTGCTGCAGAATTAGGGTCATCCTAGCTTTTGACTGCCACCCTTCTCAATCAATCCTTCCAGGCCATCTCCAATACTTTGTAAACCCCAGCAATCCACAGAACAAGGTCTCAACAGGGACCAACAGCTGCATACTTAGCTGAGACTCAGAACCACTCTCTATCAGGGATCCCACAGTCACCACACTTGGCTGGGACATAGCCACCTCCATTCTTTTGTGACTCAATACCAACTCACAGAACTGCTCTCTACCAAGGACCCATGGCTACCACATTTGGCTGTGACCCATATTGTGTTAGCAGCAATTGTCTTAGTTAGGGCTTCTTCTGTTGCTGTGAAGAGATACCATGACCATGGAAACTCTTATGTAAAACATTTAATTGAGGGGGCTCACTTACAGTTTCAGAGGTTTAATCCATTATCATCATGGCAGAAAGCACAGCAGCAGGCAGACATATGCATCTTGCAGGCAACAGGAAGTCAACTGAGACACTGGGCAGTATCCAGAGCATAGGAAATCTCAAAGTCCACCTCCCACCATGATGACAGACTTCCGGCAACAAGGCCATATCCACTTCAACAAAGACACACCTCCTAATAATGACACTCCCTGTGAGATTATGGGAGCCAATTATATTCAAAGTACCACAGCAACCAAAGAAATGAACACCCACCCAACATAAGCAAGGTTCACCCAACATAAGCTACACTAAGAACACCATAAACATCACAATTCCAGACGTCACAATTTCAGCTCAAAACACAAACATGAACAACCAAGACAATATAACTCCCCAGGAGCCAAAAATCCTGGCCCTGGGAAAAGTGACTTAGCTGGAGCACTATAACTTCAAAATAACAGTTACAAATATATTTCAGGACTTAAAGAGGACATGAGTAAATGCTTTAATGAACATTATGAAAGCACAAAAAGTTGAATGAAATAATGAAAACAATTCAAAACATGAAAGTAGAATTTAACAAAGAAATAGAATTGTTTAAAAGAAGCCAAACTGAAGCAAAACTCAAAATGAAAAACTCAGGAGGTCAAACAACAAGTTCAAAGGTAACAGAATGAAGTGTAAGAGAAAATTTCAGATCTTGAAGACAGAATAGAGGAAATGTGATGGGGAAGTACTTCTGTGTATATTTATCTTATTGATTGTTAAATAAAATACTGTTTGGCCAATGAGACAGCAAGTAGACGGGACTAGGAGTCAAAGAGGATTCTGGGAAATGTAGTAGAGAAGTGTGATCCAGGCAGGAAGTGACATAGCAAGGAGACTCATATTTAAGCTAAGGAGAAACAGGAAGCGCCCCTTTTTTTCCCCTCCTGCTCCAGCAGCAAGATGTGATCCTAGCAAGGAGGGATGCCAATAAGGTGTCCGATAAGATAAGTCTTATAAAATATATAGGTTTATGATAGTTAAGACTGAGTTAGCAGATGAGAAGTCCTAGTCATTGGCCAAGCAGGTTTGTAACTAATACAAGTTTCTGTGTATTCATTTGGGCCTAACTTGGGCAGGCGGCTGGCATAAAGCTTACACGTGGCAGTGGGGCTCAGCGGCTTTGGCAGAAAGATTTATCGTGACAGAAATGGAAACATTAAATAAAGAAAATGTGCAGGGGGTTGGTAGTGCATGCCTTTAATCCCAGCACTTGGGAGGCAGAGGCAGATGGATCTCTGAGTCCGAGGCCAGCCTGGTCTCCAGAGTGAGTGCCAGGATAGGCTCCATAGCTACACAGAGAAACCCTGTCTCAAAAAACCAAAAAAAAGAA